GACACACGTATATATGTACACATACATATACACTTAAGCAAACACACAATGAGGGGATGTTAGTCATTAGAAAGAAGGTAATATTTGCCATTTGCAATCATGTGGATGGACCATGAGGGCATTGTGTCAACTGAAATAAATCAAAGAAAAATACTGAGTGTTATCACTCCTCTATGGAATGTACTTTTTCCCCCCTTAAGTATGTAACAGTTTAATATTTCTTTTTTTTTTAAAGATTTATTTATTCATACAGAACTGGGGTACAGGCCAGAGATGCGGAGGGGGAGAGACTTCAACAGAGACAGAGTGGGGAGCAGAACAGGCTGATCGATGAAGTGAAGTACACTGCTGAGGGGAGCACGGACGGGTCAGGAGAGGTCTGCCACGCCATGTGGATCTCCTCCGGGACCTCATGAGGAAGTGGCTTAAGCTTCTTAGTTCTGTGCTTTAACCCGCTGCGCCGACAGAGAGGGCCAGTTTAATATTTCTTTAAGGTAACATTTGTTTACCTGTATGTTATTCAGAAATAGAAGAACCTGACTCCTCAGATGCATGTTACCATACCACCCCCCATATGTGGAAAATAGACTTTAAAAGTCAAGCTCATAGAAACAGTCCAAATGTGGTTGCCAGGATTTAGGAGAAATAGGGTAAGGTTGATCCAAGAGTAAAAACTTTCAACTATAAGGTTAATGTGGCCTGTGGGTCTTTGTAAAGCGACTCGAGTCACTAACACTGCATTCTGTTGGGATCTGCTAGTAGGGTAGAACTTGAATGTTCTCAACAGAAGAGGTGATGGGTATCTTAATTCACTAGATGGTGGGAAGCCTATATTTCTTTCTTTCTTTCTTTCTTTCTTTCTTTCTTTCTTTCTTTCTTTCTTTCTTTCTTTCTTTCTTTCTTTCTTTCTTTCTTTCTTTCTTTTAAAATAATATAACAGTTTATTTTTACATCATTTTGTACATTTTTTTTTCATCTCAATTGTAATCCCCGTGGGTTTCCCATCACCGAGTCACCTGTATGCCATCACCATAGTCCCGTGCGGAAAGCCTATATTTCTATCAAATCACCACACTATAAACTTCACATATCTTACAATTTACTTGTCAATTATATCTCAATAAGGTTGGAGAAAATAGTAGGCCTAATAGAGCAATGAAGTCAGCTATTGAAGACTGAGTTAATCCCCAGCTAGGAGAAAACACCCGTGACTTTGGGAGACTTGTCTTGCAGGCTGTGTTGTACAGTGTGAACCAGGACTAGAAACCAACCTTCGGGGATCTTTCTCCTGTGGCCAGAAAACATGGGGCTACGGACTAACGGGTGCTGGTGAGGGTGCCACCTCCCTTGAGAATGAAGAAGCCAACCAGATTTCAAATTAACCTCTGCAAACATTTTTACAGTTTACTTCTCGTTCCCACAGCTCTAGTTTCTGCTATTTGAGAAGCTTATTATCCAAGAGAGGAATATTTTTCAGGAAACACAGCAATGGTTTCCTGCCATTTCATGCCAATAGGCAAACCAGCAAAAGGAAGAACTAGGAAGGAAGAAAGAAAGGTGGGGAGGGAAGAAGGGAGGGCTACTATGTTGGCTGTGGTGATCCATCCCCATCATAATTAAGTGCCATATATTAGTATATTATCAAAAGGAGCTAGAGTTTGTTTCCACTGCTCTTGAGGCACCCTTTATGTCGGTTTCACTTTTTCAATGAATGCATTGGTGCGTGTCTCCTTGTACACATGGGTGACAGGATAAAAACAGAAATTGAGATTTCTGGGTCACACACTATGTGGAGATTGAACTTTATCTGTTGTGGGTCAAATTGTTTTTGTTCTCTAAAGCGGTGGTGCCCATTTGCACTCCATCAGCAAGGCTTGACTTCCTATTTCTGTACATTCTTGTGAATATGTACTCGTTGTTGCCAATTCAATGAGCATAAAATTATATCTTGTTGTTTAATTTGTCTTGCCCTAAGCGAGGCTAAGAATTTTATCACGTCTGTTTGTAATGATATTGAAAAAGTGCCAATTCTCAATTTTCCATGAGAACAGCGGTTACTCTATGCCCAGTGACATATACCATGTCGGAAGCAGTTCTTGCATTCATGTTCATGCAAGAGATTTTCCTCCTTAATTAGATCTGGGTTGGCTAATATAAAATTGGGCCCCTTTGAGAATGTGGGATAAAGAGGAAAGCAGAAATTTAAATCTACATTTGATAATCTACAAAATGAATACTTCATATGACTTTTTGTAAAGACAAAGAACAAAAGCAAACCAGCAACAAAAGACTTGAACTAGTGCTGTGTAAAACAGAGGGTACTCAGATGTAATCTTTAGGATTTTGCCCTTGCATGGGGCAAGAAACTTCTTCTCTTTCTAAATTCTTTTTTTTGTTTAAATAATTAAATTGACACACGACAGCTTAACAGGAGGGAAAAAAAGCAAATTTAAATCCATACATAGCTGAAATTATTTCAGCCTTGATGGACATGCTCTGTCTTCACACAGTCCGTGAATATGTTTAGCTGTTTTGGCTTTTGGGCACTTTATAGTGGCCACTATGACTGGGGCACTGATTTCTTAATTCTGTAACATTTTTACATACATATAAAAATTCTATCTTTTAGACAAAGAAATAATGCATTCACGAAGAACTGCAAGACTAAGAAACACTGGTTTCCCTGCTAATAGGAAAAAAGTAAGCAGGGTTTGTTTCAACACCCCTGCCCTGAATTTCCTATCGCTGGGATGCCTCTCTATCTCCTGGTGTATGGAAGGAACATTTCACATTGAGACTTATTTTCTGCTTGTACAGACACCAAGGAGGGTCAGAGTGTCCTTTTTGCAACAGCTGTTGCTTAAAGTGACTTTAATTTGAAATAATCAGGATGCTACTTTGGCAGATTTTGGGGCGACCTGCCCGGAGCCCCAATATCCCCTGAGTTCTTGTTAGCATTTGGATTTCTAACAGTGCAATGCAGACCGTGCAGGAGCAGCTTTGCTTTGTTGTAGAATTGCTGTGCCTTGCCTGTTTATAGCAACTGCAAATGCTACCATCAAATAGAAGGCCTGGCAAGCCAAAGCTGAGAGGAATTGTGACAATTCCCATCATTCCACAGCCTGTAATTTGCAGAAGGGGAAACTAAGTCTCAGAAAACAAAATCTGGGAAGTGTTCCTGATCTGAGTTCTTACCCCATGTGTTCACGTGTGGAGCATGATCATGTGACCATTTGCTGTGTGTGCTGTGTGTGTGTGTGAATAGAACAATACTGCTGTTGCAATTGTTTGTGGGTTTCTTGAATCCCTTCATATCTTGGGAAAGCTCTTGACCTTTGTCTCTAACTCAATGGTAGTCTTATATCTTCTGGTTTCTGTGAAGCTGCAGCAGGCTACCTTGTGAATTGCAAGTAGAGTAAAATCTGACTCTTCACAGTTCCTCACAATTGCAGTAGTTTGAGAAACTGCTAGTAAATATTTTGTGGAATCGATGTCCTCTTGTAAAATTAGTTTTGGAAAATCTGAGGCAAAAAGAAATTTTAAAAGGAGAAAAAGAAGGCCTCCCTGGTGGTACAAAAGGTTAAGTCCTCAGCATTATGAAGCTATCTGCAGCCACTGTAGCACAAGTTGGATCCCCAGCCAGGGAACTGACCCACATGGAGTGGCAGACCTCTCCTGTCTCCCTGCTGCTCCCTTCAGCAGTGGATTTCAATCAATCCAGCTGCTCTGCTCCTGACTCTGTCTTTGGGAATCCTCTCAACCCCACATACCTCTGATCTGTACCCCAAGTCTTAGGTGCATAAATAAATAAATAAATAAATAAATTTTTAAGAGCTAGAAAAGGAAAGAAAAGCAAGATCTTTTCCTGTCAGATCCTTTAATGAATAAAGAGCCTGGGGTGGGGTAAAGTGTGCTAAGCTCCAAGAGGTATTTGCATTGAAAACCTTCCCCCACTCCTTCCTCCTATGTAATGCCTATTAACATTGGAAAGAATAAAATGAATAGAAAACCATCTGGAAAGCCAGTGTAAAATATAGTATGAATAAGGATGGGAATGCATTTTTGTGGGATCATTGTCATACTCCTTGAAAACTACAATGAGGTAGGCTAACAGGTATGCCAACATCACCTAGAAGGTGTAGATGTGCCCATAGCAGGTGACTTACAGGGATTTTTGTCCATGCATCAGGCTTTAGAGCCAGAAGGGAGCTTAGAGACAATGCTAACTCATTTTACCAGTGGGGCTTTGAGTCCGAGCAAGAGGAAAGCACTTAGGGCCAGCCTATTTATTGGCCCCAAATAATGGGGTAACATCTGAGCATTCTCAGTCACAGTCTTTGTTTTATTTATAACTCAGTCTTAAGGTCTGTGAAGGCAAATACCACGTTCATATTCGCTATAGTCACTGTTCAAGCATAGCCAACACAACTTTCAGCCTTGATGGACATGCTCTATCTTCACATTGTCCATGAATATGTTTGGCCATTTTGGCTTTGAGCACTTTATAGTGACCACTGTGACTGCGGCACTGATTTCTTAATTCAGTTAAAATTTTATTAAATAAAATTAGCATTTAAATACCCCTATTTGTCTAGTGGCTAGTGGAATGAGCACACAGAGGGGTCATTTCCATCCTTATTCATACAACATTTTACTCTGTGGCTACAGAGATTGTCATAGGACTGAATTTGAGCAGGAATTAGCATCTCAAGTAGAGGTGGAAATCTTGTGAGGGCTTCTGGTTGGCCAGTGACAAGCAGTCATGGAGGTGGCACCAGCTTCAGGCTCCCTTCACTTATCCAAAGACATGTAACCACCACCAGAAAGGTGTGGGGGAAGGGAGGTCCAGAGCACCCGGGTAACCGTTAGAAGTGGGCGGGGCCAGGCATGACGTCACGTGCCATTGCGGGCACTTCCGCATCTAACAGCTCCGCTGCCCGGAGGCTTCTGGGATACCGCGCCAACCGACTTTGTGGCGACGCCGTAGTGCGGAGCTAGTCATGCCTTCTGAGGCACGGCCTCTGAGGGGGAGAACCCGGCATTCAGCCCGGGTGTGGAGGGGAGCGCGTTCTAGGCAAATAAGTAATGAGATGAAGAGCAAACCGGACAACCCAGCTACCGGTTCGCACCCAAGAGGCAGCCCTCGCGGGCGCCGGATCTTAGTGGCTGCCACGCCGCTGCCTTACTGGCAGGCCTCTTTGCGTGGTCACCGCGCTGAGAGGAAACGCTATCTGAATACAATATGGGAGCACAGGCGCTTCTTTTTGTTAGTGGGGCTGATCTGGATCCTGCTACTGCTGGGTGGCTTTCTGATTGTTGGTGAGTGTGCCACCTCAGGGTCTCTGGATAGCGGGCTCTGGGAGACCAGGCCTCTGGGAAGGGTGGGGGGAGGGGAGAGAGGTCTGAGGGAGGGGAGGCCACAGGGAAGCCACAGGACTGGAGATGGTGGGACTGCAGCAGGTTGCTGGAGACCAGGCCTGCGGGGGGCGGGGGGGGGG